CATGTCTTTTTTTAAATTTATATAGCCAACCGTGAGAGAATTTAAGAGCGTTTTCAGGTATACGTAGCATTTTACCAAAATTTTTTGCTTTTTCTATAATAAGTTCATCAGACAATGTTATATGTTCTTGACTTTGTAATATCCATTCATACAATGCATTTTCAAGTGCCGGATATTGAACCGTTTTTTGTCTTTTTGCAGAAGGGTTTTCACCAATTGATTCCTTATTTTTTATTAAACGGCTAATAGTACTTTGGTGAACATCAAGATTCATAGTTTTTTTTACCCATTCAACAAGATCAACTTGGCTAATTTGAGGGTTTTTGTCTTTATGCGCGATAATAACCTTTCTTTGTTCATTAGTAAGGGTAGTTTTAGTTTCTTTAGATTTTGTAGAAGACATTCTAATTGATATAATACGGATAGTTTCAAAGTAAGTTTTGTTTAATTAATGGTTTTTATGAAAAATTTAGCAAGTCGAGTGAATGCTTTTTTCTTTAATTTTATAATCTAACAGAATATTTATTTAGTTTTTACAGCAATGTTATGCAAGTCATTGTAGTGCATAAAGACGTTTATATAAAAGGGCTTTATAATTTATATTACTATCGAAGCCGTGATAATTGAGATAAGTTTATGCATTTATTTTATTAGAATTATATGGGTGAGAGTATAGCAAAATCATGTTAGAATATATGTATTACATATACTTTAAGTATGAGTTTCTATATGCTCGCTCACATGTAATTTAATTTAAACAATAATGATTATATTCAAATCTAATTGTGTGAATCTGTAGCTTTAAAAAATTATATTGTCTTTACAACTTACAAATCAGAATTAAATTAACTTGGGCTTAAAATTCTTATAATGAACAATCATCGCTTAGTAATAAGCGTGAAAGAGTTACAATGATACGGCAATCAATTACTCAAACACTAGGCGTTAGAAAAGAGAATAAGTATACATTATTTTTTTAATTCGTATACAATATGACCATTTTTTAATTAAATGTTAAGGGACCCGGGACAGGAATCTGAAAATTTTGGATTTTATTTATAGGATTTAGAATTTGTATAAATAAAGTTCAAATTTTTTCAGACATCTGACCCAACATAAACATTGAAAAAAGAATAAATATGCATTACTTTCATATATAATATGAATTTTTTAAATTGAGATCTAAAACAAAAATTTGGATTCGATTTATAGGATTTGGAATTTGCATAAATAAAATCCTATTTTTTTCGGGTTTCTAACCCACGGTAGAATGTTAGGCGTTAGAAGGGAGTAAGTATGCATTACTTTCACATACAATATGAACTTTTTTATTAAATTTTTAGCGATCCAAGACAGAAATCCGGACAAATTTGGATTTGGTTTGTAAGAATTTAGAATTTACATAAATAAAATCTAAATTTTTCGGGTCCCTGACCCAAGGTAGAACTCTAGGCATTAAAAAAGATAATAGGTATGCATTGCTTTCTTATTTCA